GTCAATGTGGGCATTTCTGGTGGCCCACACAGTGGTTACTCTACCATTCCCAGAGGTCTGCAAGTGCCTGAAATGATAATCTCCACCTGCTTCACAAAAGTCTTGGCTCCAAAGTGACATACATCACTTCTGCTCTCAGTCCCTTAGATGAAACTAGTCTCAGGGCCCTCACTGGATGAAAGGGCCTCTGGGAAATGTAGTCTCTGGATAAACTAATAGGTAGCTAGCGGCCTCTGCCACTCAAGGCCTCTCTGAGAGGTTGTTGGTTGGAGTTGAGACCTGGAGTTGAAGTGAAAGAGACATTCAAAACACTGTGGCTCCAGAATTCCCAAGCCATGGAAGCAGCAGGTAGGAAATCCCTGACGCTGGAATGAGTGTGGCGATTCACGGAACATAACGGAGACCACGGGAGAAGTAAGTAACACAACACATCTGCCACTGTCCAAAATGGATTCTTGTTGACGTTTTCTCCTCCTTCCTTTAAGAACCCAGGACGGTGCTTATGGAAGTCCCAGAAATGACCCCCAACTTCCAGCTCTCTAAAGGTGAAATACAATGCTGGTTCTTCACCTCCTAACTGACAAAAGTCTTCTCACAGAATGCTTTGCAAACATACAGCTTCCCACCTCTAGGATCTCCTGATGTCCTCCATGCCTGGTTCTGTGCTGGGTGATGCTGTGGACACAGTGGAGACCAAGCAAGACCCCATCTCAGCCCTCAGGAAACTCACAGTCCAGTGGAGGAGACAACCACTGGACAGGGATTTAACTTGGGCTGTCATTATGCGTATTGTATATTTATTGTGTATCTACTATTGTACCAGGCAATGGGGACACATTAGTGAACAAAACAGACGAAAGGTTCCATCCAATGGAGCTCACATTTTGAAGGGATGTGAAAGATAAGTATAATCAATCAATTACATAACCTATGAAAACATGAGTGTTTAAAGGAAGAAAATAAAGGTGATAAGAATTATTAGAGATGGGTAAGGGGCTACCATTTTCAGGTAATGCCCCACTGAGAATCTAACCTATGAGCAAAGTCTTATAGGATGTAATGGAGGAAGGAGCCAGGGAGATAGGTATCTGGGGGAAGAGTGTTCCAGGCAGGGGGAACTGCTAGTGCAAACGCCTGGAGGAGAGAACATGTCTGGTAGTTCTGAAATGTAATGAGGAGGCAAGAGCGCATAAAGTGACAGGAACAAGGCTGGGAATGGCTAGAGAAGAATCGGAGCTAACAAGGCCAAATGAGAGAGAACTAACTTTTTTTTCTGAGTGACATGAACAATGAACAGATGAGGACATGAGCCAACTCAGGTGTTAACAGACTCTCTAGGGTAGATTGTGGGAATTGAGGAGAGAAGGGAAACTATCATTGTTAGAGGGAAGTGATGGGAAATCAGGAGGTCGGGGTAGGAAGAAATAGAAAGAATTCTGGATAAATTTTTAAACTAAAATAATTAGAATTTCATGATGAGTAATAAGCTCTGGTAGCATAGTGGTTACAAATCGGGCTGCGATCCTCAGGGTCAGCAGTTCGAAACCACCAGCTGTTCCACAGGAGAAAGATGAGGCTTTCTGCTCCTGTAAAGACTTCCAGCCTCGGAAACCCTGTACAGGGTCGCTATGAGTCAGAACTGACTCCACGGCACATAACAACAACAAGAACAAATGTAGGTGTGGACTCCTGGTGTGGCACTGTAGGGTCAGCACTAGACTGTGAACCACAAGGTCAGCAGTTCAAACCCACCAGCTGCTCCTCGGGAACCTTATACCGGGTTGGAAGCAACTTGATGGCACTTAACAATAACAACAATGTGGGTATAAGGCAAAGACAAGGGTCTTTGGCCTCAGGAGTTGGGAAGACAGCTACTACTGTCTAAGATGGTATAGTGAAATGAGTTCTTTTATGTGACTTTTTGCCTTGGTTCTTTAGGAAAACAGCTGGAAAGACTTTTCTGCCTAAACCCAGAGGAGTTAGCATCACCCTAATTTTCTACCCCAGAGGGTTTGTTTGTTACATTTTCTGAATGTGATGGTTAATGTAATGTGTCGATCTGGTTAAGACATGATTCCCAGTATTGTGTTGTGATCTGATGGAATTACCCCCCACTTTATGTAAACCCTACCCTCTGAAAATTAATGAGGCAGGATTAGTGTGGGGGTATATCTTGAGTCACCGTCATATGAAGGTAAAATTCAAGTCACACCCTTCCCCAAGTTACACCCCTACTAAACTCACACCTGACTCTGATGCAAGGGGAGGTTCCTTGGGGCTGTAACCTGCATCAAATATATACAGAGGTTCTCTGAGGAGCCTCTCCCTTGCTCTGAATACTACATCCAGTCCATCATCATCTGAACTCCAGCTTGTCAATTGACCTGCCAACTCTGGGTTTATCATGCCCTACAATCATGTGAGTCAGGAGAAGTCTCCAGCCTGACAGATTTTGGACTGGCCAGCCTTCACAACCGTGGGAGCCATTTCCTTGAGATCACCGAGGGCAACTCAAAAAGTATTGTGGCTAGGGTTCCAGTTCATACAGGGGTTTATTCCAAACAAAACAAGTTTGAATATGTCTCTGTGATCAGTGATGGCTGCAGACAAGTTCTCTTAGTAATGCACTTGTCTTAGTTTCATTATGGTGATTTCAAAAATGGGGCCAAAGAAAACAGTGGCTTCTGAGGGGATCTGCTAGCCCAGTTAAATTCAAGACAGGTCAGCTCAGAGATTATGGTGACTATTTTGGGGGATTCCAAATAGGTAATCTTGATAGATTTTTGTAAAGGAAACAGTACAATCACACTTCTTAAAATTAAGAAGTTTTAAGAAAATGGAAAATTATATTGGTGAGACAAAGGCCAGTAAAGTTGTGCCGAGGAATTTTTTTTTTTTTTCCATCTCAACAACGCACTTACTGTTCTAGGATAATTTCGTTGGGAAACCTTACCCCATCTACCCTACAGGCCTGGTTTTGACTCTCCGGGCTTCTTTTTGTTCCCCAAATTTAAGAAGAATACCATTTGAGTGTCCATCAGACGTGTTAACATAGAGATAGACCCACATCCCATATATCACAACCCAAACACACTGCAAGTTGGTCCCAACTCATAGCAACCTTGCAGCGCAGCGTAGCACTGGCTCCTGACGGTTTCCCAGAACATAAATCTTTACAGGGAGCAGACATCTAACCAAAAGTCAAAAACAGAGTTTCTCAGGAAAATTGACCTTGTGTTTGTGTCAAACCTTTTTGACCAACAGCAATGAACAAAGTATGAAAGTCTGCCAGTTGAAAGAACATATGGAAAAGGAAGGTTCAAGTGGAATGCTTATGTAAGTAGCTGGTTTTCCTTGGAAAATTAAGTAGTTGGGTAATGAATGAAGTTTCAGTTTATATGGTAATGTCATTTGTTAAGGAAAAAAAGTTGAAACATAATGGCCTAAAATGTGTCAGAGATTGATGACCAAGTTATAAACTGTTAATGCAAGAAGCAGATAAGGGTCTATCAGTAGCTATTAATAAGAATAAAGAAGATTTCATCCCCTCAAAGTAGTGTTGTATATAACTACACTTCTCAAACTAATTTACACATGAATCATTTGGTAAATTGTGTCAAAATTCAGCATGGTTGGAGTGAGTGGGGATTGGGATTTTGTTGGTCCTTCAACAACTTGTGAAGTCCAGGTGTGGCACTGTGGGCTAAGGCGTCAGACTGCAAAGTTGGTTGAACTTCAGGGTCGGTGGTTCAAGCTCACCAGATGCTCTGTGGAAACCCTGTACAGGGTCGCTATGGGTTGGAATCAACTCGATGGCTCTTAACAACAACTTGTGAATAGCTAAGCTACAAAAGACAATTAACACGGGAGGTTGAAGCTTGTCAAAAAGGGTCAAAAGCGGAACAGCAAGCAATAAATTCTGATTTTAACCATTGACCATGATTTCTCAGGCTTACCTATCTCTTACCTTATTTTTCCAAGTATATTGAACAGGCTGAACCTAGTGGAGATCTGATCATTATTTATGCTTCCTCTTTTATGAGTAATACATCAATCTCGCCTTTTATCAGCCTTCTATAGGGGTGAAGAAGAAGGCCTCTTCTTTTTAAGGGGAATGACATCTCAGACATCAACAGTTTGCTTACAGGGTGTTGTCAGTCAGTCAGGGTTCAATCAGTGAAGTAACACCGCTAGGTGAAATGTAATATAGATGACAGATAGATGTAAACCGAGAGATGCATTACAGGGATTTGAGCTTGTGCAATTGTGGGACTGGTTAAGCCGTCTCTGTAAAACTGTTATTAGTGTCTGATGCTGTCAATTGAAGGGAAGATGGGTGTAAAATGGAATAAAACCTGGTTTGGCGCTGTGGGTTCATGTGCCAGACTGCAAAGTCGTTTGAACTGTAAGGTCGGTGGTTCAAGCTCACCAGCTGCTCCTTGGAAACCCTATACAGGGTTGCTATGGGTCGGAATCGGCTTGACGGCACTTAACAACAACAACAACCTGAAACAGCACACTTCTTACAGCCTCTGACTTTGATGGTATGCGTGTCGGCAGGAGAAGCTGGTACCTTTCATCATATAGCTAAACACACACGGGGCCCCCACCCAGACATGACGCTTCGTTTCTAAAATCAAGGCGTATGGCCAGGATCCCCTCCTTCTCGTTCTCCAATATGGCCCTTGAAAAGGTCCTGCCCTATTTTGTCAAGAAAGTCAAGGGAGGGGCGCGATTCCCTTTGTGTTCTCCGCAAAGCCACGGCATTAAGAACCTTAGTGGCAGCAGGTAGTGAATTCAGTAGGAGAAGAGCGTTTTCAGATTCCTTCATTGGGACGCAAGTTACAGGAATAAGCGCCCAAAGACCAAAGAGTTCCTCAGGTCGGAAGTTTGCTTGGCTGCCGAGTACTGTCGGCGCGTTCGTGACGTCAGAGGTGGGCGCCAATCTTGAATTGCCCCGCACAGGCGGTGGCGGCGGCGGCGGCGGCGGCGGGGGTGACATGGATCTAATACTGGAAGCGCGGGAACTGGGTTGCTGGGCCGCCGAGGAGATGGGGGCGCCTACGACGGCCCGGGCCTCGGAGACGACGCTGCGCAGGTTAGATCCGTCCCGGGGAGTGAGGAAGGACTCTCTACCTTGGAGAGGGGTTCTGGGAGTGAAGACCCCACCCCATTTTGAAGACGCCTTCTCCCCCCCGTCCAAGTGAGAGTTGTTGTTGTTAAGTGACGTTGAGTCGGTTTAGATTCATCGCGACCCGTTATAGCGTTCCCAAGGAGTGGCTGGTGGGTTTACCACCAACCTTGTGGTTAGCAGTCTAGTGCTTATCCTACAGCGCTGCACTAGGACTCCCAAGTGAAGAGTGACCTAGATTTATTGAGGGCGCCCCACCTGGAAGTAGCATGTCCAGGAAGAGGATTCGGATTTGAGTGAAGATGCTCTGGTGTTGACTGCCCATCCGGGGAGGCCCTCTCATAGTGAGATCCCTGGCACCAGTGAAGACCCGCCCCGTGTGGAAATAGGAATGACCTCCAGATGAAAGAAGTCATTTTTCCCAACCCCCAGCCAGTGTGGACCTTGGGGAGCTAGCAGAGAACCCCCGGTTGGGGATTGTACTTATAGGAGTGATGACACATGCCTGGCAATGAGAGGGGGGAGCTTCCTAGCAGTGCCTGTCCCACCCCAACTCTGGAAGTAACTGACGATAACCATCTCCCAGGAGAAAGGGAGGACCCCACCAAAGGAGGAGAATATCCTACACACAAACCCAGTGAGAAGTCCACCTCTCAGAGATGGAAAACTCCCCAGAAGGGAGGATCTTACCCTGAAAAGTAAACACGCCCCTCACCCTAGCAGTGAGAGCCCTTGGGAATGAGACTTCCACCTTGTGTGCTTACCCTAGACCTACCCTCAACACCCTGTTCCCCACAGGCTGTGTCTGGCCCAGGGAGCAGACATCTGGGCATACATCGTCCGGCATGTGCACAGCCAGAGGTAAGCCCAGCTGGAAGAGGTGGGCTGGGGCAAGGGTTACAAGCAAAGCCCTACAGCAACCTTCCTCCTACCTCCCCATTGCAGGAGTGTCAAGAAAGTCCAGGGAAACCTGCTCTGGTAACTGACCCTCTAAGCTCTCCCTCCCAATTTCCCCAGTTCCATCTAGCCTCTTCCCCACCCGCATCCTCACACCTCCTACCTTCCTTGCTGGAATTTCCTGCTATCCCCTAACTCTGGTCTCATTTTCTCAGGTATGGCCACATACCTGAAGATAGTCGAGAGGTAAGAATCAAACCTCGATTCTCTTTCATCTCAAAAGGATGCAGCCCGCCTTCTGCTGGCTGATGTTGGGATTTCTGCATTGTCAGCACAGTCCAGAGGCAGATATGAGCTGGGGAGTGAGTAACGGGGTATCCAGGCTGAAGAGAGGAGTCAGGAAAAGGGGCGAGTTTAAGGGCAATGCTGGGGCTAGTATGAGACCCAGTGGGTGAGGGTCCTGGCAGCATCCGAGGGGAGACTTCAAGGTTAGCAATGTGGATGGTATCCATGCAGAGCCAGAAAACAGGCTAAGAAGATGAGTGAGACAGTTCCAGGAGGGAGGAGACACCCAGGACAGAACCTTGATGCTCTTTTGGGCCACGTTGTGTGTTAGGGACAGAAACTGCTGAGGAAACCATCTGCCACCCTCCCCTGAGCAAAATGAGGAGCCTAGGGCTGCCCAAGGGGCAGTCAGGCCAGATGAAGCCCAGGTCAGACTGTACATATGACCCTGCACCTGATCCCAGCAGGCCCATCGGAAGTTGGAGTTAGAAGCCACCATAGCCCGTCTTCGAGCAGAGATCCAGGAGTTAGACCGGAGCCTGGAGCAGCTGGAGCAAGACACTGAGGCTCAGGGTGACACATGGGGCTGGGCAGATGGGTAGGGGAGCCCAGAGTCAGGGCCCCCATCGTGGCACAGTGGTTAAGTGCTCTGCTGCTAACCAGAAGGTCAGCAGTTCAAACCCACCAGTAACTCCATAGGAGAAAGATGTGGCCACCTGTTTCTATCCAGATTCCAGCCTTGGAAACCCTATGGGGTAGTTCTACTCCACCGTAGAAGATTGCTGTAAGTCAGAATCGACTGCCGCAACAGGTTGGTTTGTGTTTTGGCGTTCCTCCAACAGACACAGCCATGGAGCAGGCCGTGCAGAGCATGCAAAGCAACCAGCGCCGTGCTCTCCTCCTGCGCGCCCACGCGGGAGCCATACAAAGACAGCAGCGTGGGCTCCAGGCTTCCACACAGCGGCTGCAGAACCAGCTCAGGCGCCTGCAGGATACAGAGAGGTGAGCCTCCTCACATTCCCATCAGAGATACTGGTGCCCTACCCCAAACCCTTCTGGGGTCCTCTGCACTCCCACCCCTTATGGTTTAAGCTGGGTGAAGCCAGGCCTTACTGATCACTGCTGAATCCCCAGGGCCTAGAAGCATGCTGACTCAGTGTCTCACACACCAGTACTGGGCAAATAGCCCTGAACAAAGGCAGTGTCCCTGCCCTCACGGAGCTTATGTTCTGTTGGGGTAAGGGTGCGCTAGACCGTAAACTAAGAGACAAGCAAACAAATCCTGACATTTCATGTGGTGACAAGTGCTAAAAAGAAAGGGAGTGACGGGGGATCCTACTTACCTATGGTGGTCAGGGAAGGCCTCTTTGAGGAGGTGGCATTATAGTTGGAGGGATTTTTTGGAGCGGGAAGAGCTGGGAGGGTAGAAGAATAGCCAGGAAGCCAGGCCAGCTCAAGTTTCACAGAGAGAGAGAGACGGGACGCATGAAGCAGTGAGGCTGAAAGGTGGGTGAGCTCCTGGGAAGCACTGGGATTTTACTCTAAGACTTTGGGGTCACGCCCTGGCTAGGGCAAGGTATGTAACGGCTTCGTGTCTCAGTTTCTAAGAGGTATCGTATTAGTGTATTAGGCCTGCCATAACAAATGACCATAAAGCAAGTGCTTAAAATGAAATTTATGCTCTTGTAGTCTCAAAATTCATACGAGATGGATTGGCTCAGTGGCAGCAGCGATGGACTCAAATGTAGCAATGGTTGTGAGGTTGGCGCAGGATGAGGCGGTGTTTCCTTCTGTGGTGCATAGGGTCACTATGAGTCGGTGTTGTTGAGGAACAACAACAAAGTCTGAAAATTACAATAAAGGAGTCCTGGTATGGCACAAGGTCGGTTTAAACCCACCAGCCGCTCCTCGGAAACCCTATATAGGGTTGCTATGAGTCAAAACTGACATGACAGCACTTCACAATGATAAGAAGTCTGGAAACGAGAAATCTGAAGGCAAGGCATTGGCAGAGCCGTGCTCCCTTAGCAGTCTCTAGGGAGAAATCCATGCCTCTTTCTAGCATCTGGTGGTTGCCAGAAATTCTTGGTATTCCTTTGTTTGTAGCTATACCCCTCCGGTCTCTGCGTCCCTTTTTGTACGGCCAGGTTCCCTCTGCATCTGTCTTGTGTCTGAATCTCCCTCCTTTATCTTATAAAGACTCCAGTTTGTGGGATTAGGTCCTACTCTAATGTACTGTGACCTCATCTGAAAATATACTTTTGCAAAGACCCTATTTCCAAACAAGGTTATGTTTGGAGGCTCCTTGTCAACAGGAGTGTTTGGGAGTCCCTCTTCAGCCCCATCCGTCTACTGTGGTTAAGTGCAGTTGAGTCACTTCAGACTCATAGCAACCCTGTATAAGGTTTCTAAAGAGCAACTGGTGGGTTTGAACCACCAACCTTGTGGTGAGAAGTCCAGTGCTTTTCCTACAGCACCACACCAGGACTTCATTGGGGCTAACAGTAATCCTGCCTCATGGAGTTATGGTTATAGTTAGCTGCCTTCCAGTCAGCCCCCAACTCATCGTCACTCTGTGTGGTACAGAGGAGAACTGCTCCTTACAGTTTTCATGACTGTAGTCTCTGTGGAAGCGGATCGGCAGGCCTTTCATGGAGCCACTGAGTGGGCTTGAACCCCCAAACTTGAGGTGACCAGCTGATTGCAAACCACTTACACCCCCAGGGCTCCCAACCTGTCATAGTGTGGAGAGGATACAGACGTGAGTTCAGTCGTGTGAGCGTTTAGAAGGCGCCTGTTAGCCACTATCTTTCTGAGTGTGATATGGAAATCATCGCTGCTGTTTTCGAGGGTTTCAAGCGGAAGTGGCATCATCGCCTGGGCTCTCTCCCAAAGCTCTGACTTCTAGGTGGGAACAGGCTCACAGGAGCCGGAGAGGTTAATGCAGGAGATGATAGCAGCCCCTGGGATTCAGGCTTGGTGGTCTCGGTAACTACCCTTGCTGGCTGTGGGAAAAGAGGGAATGGGACACAAACATTTGTTCTCCCAGCTCCCGTCTCCAAGAATCTCAGCCCCAACTATACTCCTCTCTCCAGGAAAGCCAAAGTAGATGTGACCTTTGAACCTCTGGCGTCATCCACCCTGGGTCTGGAGCCTGTGGTTCTGGTAAAGATCCTGGTTCATGGGGGAAGGGGCGGAGAGTCCAGAGCCAGCTGGAGCCTTGGACTCCCTCCCACCCCATCGTCTTCTCGCTAGCGTGATGTCCGAACAGCCTGCACCCTCCGGACCCAGTTCTTAAAGAAGCTTCTGATCCCACGGGCCAAGGGAGGCAGCGTCCTGTGAGTGCCCCTCAGCCCCCAGATACCCTGTAAAGAGCCTGGGCTCTAGGGTCACTTGTTTGTAAATTCCTCGGACACTGAGTTGCTGACCTGTGTCTGGGCTTCTAGACTGGCAGGTAAGAAGTAGGGATGAGGAAAGCCCATCACAGACAGTGACCATACAGGTGAACAGGGCTGGAGTCGGGGGCCTGGGAGGCTGTGGGCCTCCAGAAGAGGCACCTGACCCAGCTTGTGAGCCAAGAGAAAGGGTTCTCTGATGAGGAAGCTTAACTGGGGTAAAAGGTCAGTAGGGTGTTCCAGGTAAATGGCACATGCGAAGGCCCAGGGCAGGTTAGTTACACTGGGCAGCTCAATCTAGCAGGTGTAGGCAGACTTGGTTTCCTCATCTACAAAATGGGGACACTGGTGGCCACACCTTTATAGGGTGATTGTGATTATTAGAGGGCTAATCGATAATGCCCTGTAACATTCTCTGTCCGCCTGCCCAAACCACAGGACCTCTCATGATGACCACTTTGGAACTTCCTACCAGCAGTGGATTAATTCGGTGGAGGTGAGGGGAGGAATGTGGGGGGGTTGGGAGGGAGAGTCTCAGTGAAGAAGAGGCCACGCCCTCCAGTCCCCTAATTAAACTCTAACTCATCAAGCTTGAGTCTGATCCCTGCTCTTAACCCCACGAGGCTCCAGCTGCTCCTGACTTCACCCTCCACCTTCCCCACCAGGCACTACTGGCAGACCACCCTCCCGGCCATGTCCTGGCTGCTTTGCAGCACCTGGCTGCGGAGCGGGAGGCAGAGATTCGGTCCATGGGCTGTGGGGATGAGCTCCAAGACGCAGAGATCCCCAGGTGTGAAGTGGGGTGCTCTCACAGTTAGGGTGGGCCAGGTTTGTGGGTGAGTTGAGAAAAGGTATGAATTGGGCCTGGTGACCTGCTGGTGGGGTTGGAACTGAAACCCAGCACTCATTCTGGAGGGCTGGGCTGAGATTGGCTCCTCCCTCAGCATCTTTGCCCCCACCCCCAGACCCCAAGCCCTGGACCAGCCAGACTCCAGCCAGGCCCTGCCATCCACAGTCCATCTTATCCAGGTGACCCCAAGCACTCGCCCCAGAACTTTACCCTCTCCCATCATCCCAAGACCTCCATGGACCTTACCCACCCTGACACTGTGCCCACCTCCCCAGGAGGGCTGGCGGGCTGTGAGTGTACTGCTCACCCAGAGGGGCCCCCTCCTGAAGGAGCATCAAGGCCTGACTCGGCGTCTCCAAGGCCTAATGGAGGAGATAGACAGAAGCACCCTCGGATCCAAAGAGAGGTGAGGGGTCTCCCCAGATAGGGCCTCGGGGCCGTCTCTCCCCCAGGTGTCTTTGGGATAATGGACTGTTTGCTCCATCCCTCTCTGCCCTCTGGGTTTGTCTCCCTCAGATCTCCAGAGTAGGTTTCAGGGCCTTCCTTTCATCCACTCTGCTTGCCCTCCCAGGCAGTCACTGTTGCTGGGACTGCAGGCCTGTGGGCTGTTGGCAGAGCTCAGAGCCCTGCATGCCCAGGGCCAGGAGCTGGAGGATGCTGCTGGGCAGCAGCAGCTTCAGCTGCGGGAGCTACAGGCCAAGCAACAGCGGATCCTGCAGTGGCGCCAGCTCATGGTGAGGGCCGGGGCCTCCCCGAGATGGGCAGGGTCAGATGAGGCTGGAATCCTGTGTCCAAGAATTAGGCTTTCCGGGGGGGGGGGGGGGGCACTAGGGCGAGGGACACAGAGTAAGAGTCCCACAGGCAAACAGGACTGCGGTAAGGGGAGGGCAGGGCAGGGCTTGAGGCTGGAGGGCGGAAGGAGACACTGAAAGTCTCAGAGGCCTCCTGGTTCTCCAGGAGGAGACGCAGGAACAGGTCCGCCTGCTGATCAAGGGAAACTCGGCCAGCAAGAGCCACCTTTGCCGGAGCCCTGGGGAGGTAAGATGGGATGGGGGTGAGGCCTGGGTTTGCAGTTGCATTGGGGTACAGATGGCGCTTGTCTGCATCTGCTGGGCAGAGAGGATAGGGCTGGGTGGGCGCTAACTCCCACTCTCTTCCTTCCTTGTCCTCCACAGGTGCTGGCTCTGGTTCAGGGAAAGGTGGTCCCCACGTCTGAGATGGTGGCCCCACAGAGCCAGAAACTGCTTCACTGTCTGGAGAAGGAGGCCCGGCATCTGCCCTGCCTCCTGCTAGGCAGCCTGCTTCGGCACATCCCTGGAGAGTGAGACTGGGGCTACCCGGTACCCCCTTCCCATGGGTGACCTCTAGCCCCCAGATCCACCTCCAAGTCCCTAGGGCTCTAGACCTCACTTTAAGCCCCCAGACCCTGCCCTCCTTTCTGTGCCCTACCCTACCCAAGTCTCCTTCCCCTCAGGTTGAAGCCCCTGCCCACAGTGCTCCCATCTGTCCACCAGCTGCACCCTGCATCCCCGAGGGGCTCCCGCTTCATAGCCCTGAGCCACACACTGGGGCTGCCCTCAGGGAAGGTGAGCATCTAGCCCTAACCCTGCCCCAGGTGAGGTGAGCACCTGGCCCTCTTCTCCCCACTCCCACCTGCCCCAGGTGAGAAGGTGAGCATCTGGCCCTCTTCTCCCCACTCCCACCTGCCCTGGATAACTGCTTCCTCGTCCCTCCAGGCCCCAGAGCTGCTCCTCCCAAAGGCTGCCTCTCTGCACCAAGACCTCCTGTTCCTCCAAGACCAGTGGAGTATGCGGTGCTGGGACCTGCTCCAGATGAAGACTGGTCTGCCTCCAGGACCCTCTGCCCAGGGTAGGCCTGTCCTGCTGCTAGTCCCCAGCATCCGTGACCATTGCTGGCTCTCCCAGCCTGTCACTCACATAGTGCTTGTTGCTGTAATTGTGAAGTGCCATCGAGTCAGTTCTGACTCAGCAACCCTATAGAGGGTTTCCGAGAAGCAGCCGTGAGCTTATGCTGCTGACCTTGCGGTTCAAGCCAACTTTGCGGTCCAGCGCATTAACCCCAGCGCCACACCAAGACTCTAGTGCTTACAGAGGACTGAGTGCTTGAAACAAATTCACTTCTTTGATCTCCACGGCAACCCCATGAAGTCAGGGCTCCTTTTCTCCGCATCTTCCCGCGGCGCTGACTAGCATACCAATAGAAGAGCTGGGAGGTGAACGCAGACTGACGAGGGTCCGCTCTTCACCACTGGACCACACTGCCAAGCAGTCACTCGTCAGCAACTAACACTGAACAGAACCAAGCTGACCTGCTGCTACCCAGCAGTCCTGCCTCAGAGCATGTGACATAGGGTCTCGGAGGCTGTAAATGGACGGGCGCAGACAAGCTCATCTTTCTCCTACTCACATAGAGTACTTAGTGGTTCACAGGTAGGCTGTGGAATGAAAGTTTCTGGGTCTTACCACCCCTTACCGAGCTGTTGATGTCTGTGCCTCAGTGGAGTCGGGATAATTCCAGCATCTTACAGACTTCTGAGAGCACAGTGGATTACACGCTGGATGGGGCTTTCTGCTCCCATAAACATTTACAGCCTCAGAAACCCGATACTGGGTCACTATGAGGTGGAACCCACTCCACGGCACACCACCACCACCACAGTAATGGGGACACTTCAGTCCAGTGACCCAAGCAGAGAACTAAACAGTGGCTTGCAGTAAGCCTTCTGTGGCTGTCTTCAGCCTCTCTGAGTTCTTAACCACAGAAGGAAGGATTTAGTAAGGTCCCTAGTGCACAGACAAGGAAGTGGAAACGCAGATGCTTTCATTCAAGGAGAAGGAAGCCTTCATTCCTCAGGACACGCTGGGTGTCGGCCAGGTGCCAGGCCTTTACTCCTCAGGACACACTGGGTGTCGGCCAGGTGCCAGGCCTGGAAAGCTCAGTGAAGCGTGAGGCAAGAGCAAGGAGCAGAGTCCAAGGCGTGACATGAATTGGGGTTCTATCAACAAAACACCAAGAAACAGCCCACTTTCACGTGTTGGAAGTTCGGGCCTCCCTGCCCTCCCCTGCGCCCCATGCAGCTGCAACAGGAACAGCCCCAAGGTCCAGGACAGCCTCTTCCCACCTCATGGACATCTACAACAAAACTCTCGGTTCCTCTACTATGAAAGGCAGTGTTCCTCTTCCTACTGCTGGTCCCCTCCCCTCTAGTTCCCTTCAGTTAGTGACCTCACTTCCCTCATCCCAATAGTCACCTTGATTCCTCCCACCCCTCATTGCTCCACCTCCCACCTCAAGCAGTCCATGTGTCTGAGAGTCCCTCAGCTGCCTGCTGGCCCATTAGCCCAAGGCTCAGCTAACCCCACCTGACTGCCGATACAGCTGAGGCTCAGGAAGGGACGAGACGGAGCCAAGATTCAGGCCCAAGAAGTCTGACCATGCTGAGAATGGCTCTAATCTGGGTCCTGTCCTGAGAACATGGAGAGGATGTAGACCCAGGCATAGTCCTCGGGAGGAAACAGCAATAAAGGGCTGGGACAGTCTAAGGATGGACCTTCAATGAGGAATGCTGGGAAGATGTTCCAGGAGGAAAGATGGGTGTTGGGGGATAGCTAAGGTTTTCCCCAGGAGTGGTAAGCTGAGGCTTCACAAACCCTCAGATACAAAAGTGAAAAGTTTGAGTTCTGCCTTGGGGACACTAGGGAGCCATGGAGGGTTCTGAACAGGAGAGGGAGAGAATCAGGTTTCGGCTTCAGGAAGATCACTCTGGCTGCTGGGTGGAAGGTGGGACAAAGTAGAGACTAAGATTGGAAGTTTAGAGAGGAAAGGGGGAGGGGAAAGGCAGGCAAAGAAATGTCCAGAAGCTGAGCAGATGATTGACTGAGTGGGGGTGCCAGTGTTCAGGTGCAGTGCTAGTCTGGTGGGGGTGGAGGATGGGATTACCCTGGGAGGAGAGGTTTAGGAGACATGCCGAGATCTAGGCCGATCCAGGCGGGCCATGTCAGGCTGTGAGGGTGAGGAGCTGGAGGACTCATGGTTGCTGCTTGGTTTCTAACCTCCAGAGCTACTACAGATCCAGGCGTCACAGGAAAAGGCGCAGAGGGAGAGCCTGGGCCAGGCTCTGAATCAGCTGGTGAACTTGCTGAAACAGGCCCTGGAGCGAATCCCTGCACTTCAGAGAGCTGTAGGAGACTGGTGAGAGGGGAACCCTGATCTGGGGCTGGGGGCTGCTGAGGGGCGGGCCACATTGTTGGGGGAGGCACTGAGGGTCTGGAACAGCAGGCCGCCTTCTCTGACACTCTTCCCTTCCCAAGGTGGGAACAGCCAGGCCAGGGTGCCCTCTCGGAGGAGTACTGCCAGGGCCTGTCCCTGCCCGAGTGGCAGCTACGCTGGGTCCAAGCTCAGGAGGCCCTGCAGCAGCTGGGCCGGTGAAGAAGGGACTCAAACAAGTCAGGAGCGTTACATTTGTTCACCCCATAAAACATCTGGAGAAGAAGGCTGTGTCTGGATTTGTTAGCCCACTTTCTACATACACCCACACTCCCGCCTTACACACTATTGCGCTGCTCTTCTCAATGACCTTGCCTCCGGTCCTTTTCATCCTACCAAAGCACGAGAAGGAGGTACTGTGGACCCCACCACTGAAGCTCCATCACTTCCACTCATGACAAACAATAATTGAGTGTCGTCTTTAAGCACTGGGGATACAACACTGAACCAAACTGGTAATGTACCTGCATTCGAGGAGTTGACATTCCAGGGCAGACAGACAATTGGCAAGATAAAGGAGCAAAACATATAGAATGTTACAAGGTAAGACCCACTGTACGGAAAAATAAAGCAGGATGTTGGAGGTACAAATGTGAACAGAGAGGCTCTATACAAACCACAGCCCCATCTACCCTGAGACCTGAAGAACTAGATGTGCGTGGCTATCAACACCAACCATTCCAATCAGGGCCCCAGTAGATGAACCCTGATGGAATGGGAGAAAATGTGCAATCAAACCTTACATCCCTTTTAAAAAATAAAAACTTGCCTACTTAAACTAGTTGGAGGGCGGTGGCTCCATACAATAAGCACAGGACTGCGAACCACAAGGTCCATGGTTCAAGCTCGCCAAAAGAGAAAGATGAGATTTTCTATTCCCAGAAAGATTCAAGGCATCTGAAACTGAGTTGGCGCCGATGCAATAACACTTAGTAATAACTGGTCTGGTTGAGATGAGGTATCCCTGAGGCTTAACTGCGTTAAAACACTTCAAACCTTCAACCAAAACTAACCTGAGGCTACCTCATAACTAAACCAATTGACTAAAAAAGTAACATCACTCAAAATGGTAATATCCATGCATTAGGAAGAATGTAACCAGTCACCGAACAAGTTGGGTTGTTAAGTGCCATCGAGTCAGTTCCAACCCATAGTGACCCTGTGTAAGGTTTCCACAGAGCAACTGGTGAGCTTGAACCACCAACCTTGCAGTTGAAACTGCTCTCCAGTCTGGTGCATTAACCCACAGGGCCACATCAGGACTCTGAACAACGTGGGTAGAAATTGTTAAGTCGGAACCTAAACAACAGCTATTTTAAAGCCCAGGTTGAGGGGCAAAGAGATTAAATAAATGCAAGTGAAACAACTAATATAGAAATAAGAATGACACAATGTGACAAATATAACAGTGTCACTGGGCATTATGTCTACAAACAAAGGGGAGCAGGTTCCACTGTGTGTATTTTCACCAAAAATAAAAGTTTTTAAAAAGGGAAATATTTTAAGTAAAAGGTTGCACTGCCGAGGTCTCACTTCCATAAAGGTGGTGAGGGGGAGCCACGTGGGCATCTGAGGAAGGGGAGGTGGCAGTGTGTGCAAAGGTCCTGAGGTAGGATGTTCGGGTGTGTGGACCATCAGGGAACAAAGACTAGCTGGGAATGGGAAGTGAGATCCTTTCATTTTCATAGAGTTTTTCTTCACACTTAAATCTATGAGCCATTCGTATTTTTATCTTGGCAAATGGGCCCAATTTGCCCTGTTACATCGGATGTCACAAGCACACAAAAATAGTGTGGGGGAAGGGAGGAATTGCCAACAATTCAACAGAAAAAATTAACAGCATCAAGACAAGCACTGAATGCGAACCACAAGGTTGGATGTCGGAACCCACCCGGCGCTTAGCGGGAGAAAGATGAGGCTTTCTGCTCCCACAAAAGATTTAAAGCCTTGGAAACCTTGTGCAGGCCAGTTATGAGTCGAACCGACTGCCAAGGCCCTTAGCAAAAAAAAATGGATAATTGTTGAAATTGAGCAGAGGGGAGGGCCATTATATTATTCTCTCTACTCTTATGTATGGCTGAAAAGGAAACATTTTGAACTACCACCACCCCAAAAAAAGAGGGGGTCAGCTTGTATCCTAAGAAAGGACACAAACACCAAAGCCACACATGCGTTTTTCTGAGTTGACAAGGGCTTGTGAATTAACGGTTTCCTCTATTCACGACATCTCCCGTTTTCGTCTTGCAAATGTCTTCTTCAGACTTCAGATGTCACTTCCTCCAGGAAACCCGGATCAGGTGCGTTTCCTTTGGGCTTCCTCCAACCTTCATGGGAACCACTGTCTAATAACTTGCCTATCTATTACTGTAAAGTGGAACACACGTACCCTAAGTTTCGGTTTTGTCTCCAGCCTCACCCAACCCTGAACATGATCAGATGTCAGCGTACTTTTAAGAACTTCCATTGGTCCAGGGGCGGGGTCTTCAAACTTTCCTGAACGTTCAAAGGACCAGATTCCACAATAGAGGTAGAGCCAATTGACTGTGCTAGGCGCTCACTAGCCCATGTGATTTACTGAAGGTTAAGCAGCCTTTCTCCGTTCCGCTTTCATAGGCCCAGGCTTTCCCATTACTTCCTCTTCTCGGTACTCTCATTGGTTTAAATTCCTTCTTGAGGCGGGCCTTCAGGGTGTGGCCGCGTTCTCATTGGTCCTCGTTCCTAGTCGGAAAGGCAGGCTCATTCGTCACCTACCAGCGCTCGTCGCTTCGATCTGACGTCATCCGTACGCACCTACCGTGACGTACGCGGAGAATCGACTACCTAAACCGGCGGCAGCGGCGGCGGCTCAGCTGAGGCGGTAGTAGAAGCGACAACGACGTTTGCAGCGATGGCCGGAGCGGGGCCAGCGCCGGGACTCCCGGGTGCGGGAGGACCCGTGGTCCCGGGCCCTGGCGCTGGCATTCCGGGCAAGAGCGGCGAGGAACGCTTGAAGGAGATGGAAGCGGAGATGGCCCTGTAAGGCCCACGACACACAGAGCGATAAAAACCGCCCCTTAATTAGAGCCACCAACTCCTGGAGTCACCTGTCTGCCAAAGGCCGGGAATATGGCTCTGTCGCGGGGGAAGTGGGACCTTCGGAATTATGGAGGCGGGAATGGGAAGAGATTGGCAGGGGTGACAGCTGTGCCGCGATGTGCCCAGCGTTCCTGAATCCGTGTAGGGCCCTGATCTCTTGTCCTGCTCCTACAGGTTCGAGCAGGAAGTTTTGGGGGCTCCGATAACCGGGATCCCGACTGCTGTGCCCACGGTGCCTACCGTCCCCACAGTAGAAACGATGCAAGTCCCAGCAGCTCCTGTGATCCGCCCAATTATCGCGACCAACACATACCAACAGGTGCGGCTGAGCTAAGGGGCAAAAATAAGGAGCACAATGCCTAGAACATAATAGATGTCTATATACAGAGTTATTTTAACATGTTGGCTTGTTGATTAAGTATTATGACAAACGTGATGCCCTACGAGTGGCTCTAGGTGCCAAAGAGCCAGTAATAACTAAGGCCATCCAATATTTCTGCCTCTTGGAAGTGTATATTTTAAAGCGTGTTGTCCAGCAAAACTTTCTGCAACAATGAAAATGTTTCTAGTCAGTTTCAAGTTTACTAGTTCCTTAGAGGCGATAGTCACATTTCAGTGCTCAGAAGCCGGCTGTATGTGGAGAGGGAAATTACTAAAAAGAAAAAGTTAGTGCAACTCATTCATTCAGTTAACAGATCATTTTAGGGTGCCTTCTATGTACCTGGCACAATCCTAGGCACTAATCATATAAACTCAAAAACCTATGCTCACTATCATCAATTCGATTCTGACCAATAATGACACTGTATAGTGCTTCTGAGGCTGTAAATCTTTATGGGAACAGAAAGCCTCTATCTCCTGCCATGGAGCACTTGGTGGACTTGAACTGCCAGCCTTGCAACTAGCAACCCAGAGCTTGTTCTACAAGGCTCTTTTAGACACATGTTGTTAGTGCCATTGAATTGGTTCTGACTTACAGTGACCCTGTATAATGTTTCTGAGGAGTGGCTGGTGGGTTTGAACCACCAACCTTGCAGTTAGCAGTCCCATTGGTTATCTTATAGCCACACCAGGATTTCATTGTTGTTGTTGTTAAGTACCGTCGAGTCGGTTCCGACCCATAGCGACCCTGAACAGGGTTTCCGAGGCTGTAAAACTTTATGGGAGCAGAAAGCCTCATCTTTCTCCCACAGAGCAGCTGGTAGTTTCGAACTGCTGACCTTGCAGTTCGCCACCCGATTCGTAACCACTATGCTAGTGATGAAGGAGGATTTCATTAGACGTTTGTTATTGTTGTCGTTAAGTGTTGTCATGTGCATTCCAACTCATAACAACCCTTTATAGGGTTTCTGAGGAGTGGCTAAAGGGTTTGAACTACTGACCTTGTGGTTCAAACCGACCTTGCTATCCAGCGCATCATCTTGCAGCACCAGAGAAAAACCACTACCTCTTTGGAGTGTATATTTTATTAGCAAGAAACCAACCAGAGTTATTGCCTTTACCGTGTCCTTCTCCCAACAGGTCCAGCAGACACTGGAGGCTCGGGCAGCCGCTGCAGCCACAGTGGTTCCTCCCATGGTGGGTGGCCCACCTTTTGTGGGCCCAGGTAAGTCAGGAGTGTGGGGTGGTGTGAGCTTTAGGCAGATGGTAAAAGGGGATGCTCCCCACCCTACTCGCCTCTTCCTTCTCAACAGTCGGCTTTGGCCCTGGGGATCGGAGTCACCTGGACAGTCCTGAGGCCCGAGAAGCCATGTTCCTGCGGCGAGCAGGTAGGTGAGGGGCTAGGGACCTCACACTTCCCAGGAAACAACAAAAACATCTCTGTTGTTAGTTGGGCACTCTTGTTTCAATTATTTAACTTCTTGCTTAAATCATTGGTCTCCCTACTTTAAAATCACCCTCTCCCATTTCATTCCCCATCCTGATGTTGTCACCTTCCTCAAGTACAAACCTGATATGTAACTTCCCTGAGTCTTGCAAGTCACTTTGGCTTTTGTGAGGCACTGTAGGATAAGCACTGGACTGTTAACCACAAGGTTGGCAATTGAAACCCACCAGTTATTCTTCAGAAATATTATGCATAGTCACTATGAATCGGAACCGACTCGATGGTACATAACAACAACAACCTAGTTTTAAAAAAATTAAAACCTGGAACACGGTGGCTCTGTAGAATAAACACTGGATTGCAAACTGCAATGTCAGCATTTCAAGCCCACCAGCCACTCTACAGGAAAAAGATGAGCCTTTGTGCTCCTGTAAAAATGTACACCTTTGGAAACCCGGTACAGGATTGCTATGAGTAGGGACCAGCTCAACAGTGACAACCACCGGGTCAAGGCCAACCGCTGCCGCCGTCTCTGCTTCTCTGAACTCTCCCCTCAGTCTCTTCCTTGGTACTTACTAACAAGCAGTACAACTTCCTGATTTCTTAGGATCCTCTCCTTTCCTTTCAAACATAAGTGCCACAGGTGGCAGGCATCCTGGCACCTGCCACATAGTAAGTGTTACAGATTGTGTTTGCCAAGCTCCTTACCTAGCACTCAAGCCCCTGCATGGAGACAGATGGCCCGCTTCCTCTCTCAGAGCTCCAAACACTGCTGGGATGTGCCAGGCGTGCTCTCTTGGAGGGCCCTTCTCTCCCTTGCTGTCACCCTGCTGTAATCCCCTAAGCTTTCCTCTCACCAGGTGCCTTGTATCCGTGCAGTCTGTTTCTCTGTGTATGAAAAGAATGTGTGTTCTCTGTTGGATATAAAGCTCTGGAATAATCTCTAGTAGATCTAACAACTGTTATACTTTTGTCTTTGATATCGCTGAGAAGTTTTAATATCTCTCACTCTGCACTCTTGTCTTGGTCAGAGTACAAACCCAAGCTCGTCACCCTATCTACATTCCAACCTTGCCGTGGCTCCCGAGTGCCCTCAGGAGGACATCCACAGCTCAGTTCACAAGGCTTTACTTGGGTGTCTCCTTATCTCTTGGCCTTGATCTTCTCATACTCTCTCACCCCTTCATCTGTGACAGTCATACTAAACTGAGGAGGGAGCTGACGGTGTGCTCACAAATGCTCTACCTGCCTGTAAAATGGAAGGACCCCAGGTCTCCCAGAAGGTTCCCCAGAATCTCTTGGATGCTGAAAACAGCCCCCAGACACTGTGCCCTGAGTACCCCTGTCCCCCATGACCTACACCCCCATCTCTCTCTCCCACAGCCGTGGCCCCCCAAAGAGCCCCTATCCTGCGGCCAGCCTTCGTCCCCCATGTGCTGCAGAGAGCAGGTGAGGGGACCATGGTCATCATTCCTGCCACATTCCCACGCCCATGCCCTTCCACTCCCCCACTCACACCCTGACAGATTCTGCTCTCTCCTCTGCCGCAGGGGGCCCCCGCCCCATGGGCCTTCGGCCACCTCACCAGGCCCTTGTGGGTCCCCCTCTGCCTGGGCCCCCTGGACCACCCATGATGCTGCCACCGATGGCTCGGGCCCCAGGACCCCCGCTAGCCTCCATGGCAGCTCTGAGACCTTCCCTGGTGAGTATGGACATGCTGCTGATGGCTGGAGCTATGGGGCCAGGGAGATTGTCAGTGCTGGCCCAGTGGACTGTCTGTCTTTGCTGCTTTTTCACATTTCTGCCTTCATGGTCTGTGAGTTTTCCCATAATGGCTTTGTCTCTTTTGGCCTCTGTCTTTTCAGGCACTCTCTGTGGCTAAATGTTGCTGGTCTTTGTTTTTGTAAAGAGTATGGAGCGAAACACAAGCTTTCTATCTATGTCTGTACCTTTGTCTTTCTCTCACTGTTTTTCTGTCTTTGAGTGAGTGAATGAGTGAGTGTGTGTGTGGTGTGTGTGACAGAGAAAGAACATCTCTCTGATGGTTTTGTTTGCCCTGGTTTATCACTCTGTCTGTCTGTCTGTCTGCCTGCTAACCTGTGTTTCTCTCTGTGTCTCTGAGTATCAGACCCTTGCTGTGTGGTACAGGGTAGAAGTAAGGATGCAGCCTGTGATCTGACCCCCTCATGCCCTCCCTTTGCCCACAGGAAGAGCCAGCAGCCCCCCGGGAGCTGGGGCTGGGCCTGGGCCTGGGCCTGAAAGACAAGGAGGAGGCAGTGGTGGCAGCAGCGGCCGGGCTGGAGGAGGCCAGTGCAGCAGTGGCTGTGGGAGCGGGGGGCACCCCAGCAGGCCCTGTGGTCATTGGGCCCAGCCTCCCACTGGCCCTGGCCATGCCAATGCCTGAGCCCGAGCCCCTGCCCCTCCCTCTGGAGGTCGTCCGTGGCCTGTTACCCCCCCTGCGCATTCCTGAGCTCCTGTCCTTGCGTCCAAGGCCCCGGCCCCCTCGACCTGAGCCACCCCCTGGCCTCATGGCTCTTGAGGTAAGCAGGGAGTATTTTCAGTAGAGGGTCGAGAGGGACTGGGAGGGCAAGCACAGCCCATGAGCTTCCACACCCAGAAACATGATGTCTTCTATCCAGGAAGGTGGAGCTAATGAGGGAGGGCGGGAGGCCAGGGGGTGAGAAGCATGTGACGTGCAACCCCACACCCAGAAGTGCCTTAAATCCTGTAACGGTGTAGGAAGACCAGGGTGCAAAGGAGGCTGGGAGAATCTGAAGGGGCAGATGGGTTCTACAGAGTCAGCACCGAGCCCTCTGCCTCTCCCTGTTTCCTGTACAGGTTCCAGAACCCCTGGGTGAGGACAAGAAGAAAGGGAAGCCAGAGAGGCTGAAACGTTGCATTCGCACAGCAGCCGGGAGCAGCTGGGAAGACCCTAGCCTGCTGGAATGGGACGCAGGTAAGGGGGGAGAGTGGGGATAGGCTTCGCTCAGCCAAGCTGCACCATTGTGTTCCCAGCTCTGGGAGGGGGCTACAGCTCCGATGGGTTGGACACTCACCCAGCCACAGGCCAGAACTTGGTGGGAGGTGACTGGCAACTGGGACTTCCTGAGTTCCTCTTACTTGGATATTTTCCTGAACATCAGAGACTATAATTCACTGAACGGTACAACTTATTCAAGTTTCCTCCATTGCCCCAAAACGATTTTGTTTTTCCCCAAGTCAGGATCCCATCAAGATTCATACATTGCCTTTAGTCTTCTTGTCTCTGGGTTATCTTTTAATATAGAGTGATCTCCCTTCCACTTCTTTATTTTATGGGGGTTTTTTTTTTGTTTGTTTTATTTTGTTATTTGAAGCACCCAGGCCAGTTGTCTTGTAAAAGATTCATCCCTCCTGGGGTGGTTTAACTTGTTGCCAAAGAGCTTCCTTCATCACTCAGAAGCCATAAAACAATCAAGCTATATCTGAGGGAGGAAATGGACCCACCCCAATCTTGACCTCTGTCCCCTCTCCTGGCTCCAGGCTAGGGCTGTGGCAGCCTCAACCCCAGTGGGGCCAGTGCAGGCCTTCAATTCTATTTCTGTGACCTTAGGCAAACCACTTGGCCTTTCAGTCTCCTTTTCTGATCTCCAGAAAACGGTTGAAGAGTCCTGGTGGTGCTGTGGGTTAAGCATTGGGCTGCTAGCCTCACGTTTGGTGGTTCAAACCCACCAGCTGCTCTGGGGCAGAAAGATGAGGCTATCTGCTCCCATACAGATTGACAATCTTGGAAGCCCTATGCAGGGTCGCTGTGCATCAACTTGGACTCGATGGCATTTGGCACTGGAGACTAGAGATTCATTGGGATGGAGTGTGCTTGCTCCAGGCACAACTCCGTCCACAGGGCATGCCCAAGCCCCACAGCAGAGGTCAGCAGAGGTCATGTTGGAGAAGACTCTTGACAGTGTGGTCAGGTTTCAGGGGCCTAGGCTTTGCAGAGGAAGCAAAGCTGAGGAAAGGCTAAGCCTCTGGTGTTGAGGTGCCATCCCACTAGATGTTAGGAACCTCAGGGGCCCACGGAGCAGTGACCAGGAGTCCAAGAGACCCCAAGAGCACAGAGGAGAGGACTGGGCAGGCAGGCATTCCTGATGGGGATGGGAAGGGAGGGCAGTGCAGTTAGGGCTTACAGTGAAGGCTTGAGCCAAGCGCCTGGGTTCATGTCCCAGCTTTGCTGCTTCTGGTTCTGTGACTCTGGGCAGGGGCAGGAGCTCTCGTGCCTCAATGCAAAGGTGTTGTAGGAGCCAGATGGGTTACAACTTGGGAACGCTAGTGGAGAGCCTGTCACAGGGCTACGCAAGTGTTGGTTGTTAGCACCTAAGAAGGGTGCTGGGCAGAGAGTGTTGGAAAGACAGGGAGGAAAGTTGTGGGAGGAGGATGGGGGCAGATACCTCCAGAGAAGGTTGTTGTTGTTGTTGTTGTTAGGTGCCATCAAGACTGTACCAACTCATAGTGACCCTATGCACATCAGAATGAAACACTGACCGGTCCTGGGCCAATCAGTCCTGGGCCAACCTCACAATTGTTGCCATGCTTAAGCCCATTGATTGCTGCCACTTTGCCAATCCATCTCACTAGGGGTCTTCCTCTTCTTCTCTGACCCTCCACCTTGTTGTTGTTGAGTACCGTGGAGTCGGATCCCACTCATAGTGACCCTACACAGGGTTTCCAAGGCTGTAAATCTTTACGGAAGCAGAAAGGCTCATCTTTCTCCCATGGAACAGCTGGTAGTTTCGAACTGCTGACCTTGAGGTTAGCAGTCCAATTCGTAACCACTATGCTACCAGAGTTCCTCCACATTACCAAACAGTCGCAGGCTACTGGTCCCTCCTGACAATATATCTGAAGTATGAGAGATGAAGTTTGGCCATCCTAGCCTCCAAGGAGCACTCTGGCTATACTTCTTCCAACACACATTTATTGGTTCTTTTGGCAGTCCGTGGCACTTTCAATATTCTCCTCCAACACCATAACTCAAATTCATCAATTCTTCTATGATCGTCCTTATTCACTGACCAACTTTCACATGCATATGAGGTTATTGAAAATGCCATGGCTTGGGTCAGGCGCACCCTAGTCCTCAAGCTGACATCTTTGCTCTTCAACACTTTACAAAGGTCTTGTGCAACGGATTTGCCTAATGCAATACATCCTCTGATTTCTTGACTGCTGCTTCCGTGAGTATTGATAGTTGATCCAAGAAGAATGAAGTCCTTGACAATTTCAGTGTTTTCTCCATTGATAAGAATGTTGTTTATTGGTCCAGTGGTGAGGTTTTTGTTTTCTTAACATTGAGATGCAATCCATACCGAAGGCAGTGCTCTTTGATCTTCATCATTAAATATTTTAAGTCCTCTTCACTTTCAGCAAGGAAGGTTGTATCATCTGCATATCGCAGGTTGTTAATGAGTCTTCCTCCAATCCTGATGCCACATTTTTCTTCATAGAACCCAGCTTCTCAGATTATTTGCTCAGCATACAGGTTGAATAAGTATGGTGAAAGAATTCAACCCTGTCGCACATCTTTCTTAATTTTAAACTTCAGTGTTCCCATGTTCTGTTTGAACAACTGCCTCTTGGTCCATGTACAGATTCCTCATGAGCACAATTTAGTATTCCGGAATACTCATGCTTCGCAGTGTTGTCCAGAGAAGGAAGGTAGGATTGCTGAAATGAGGCAGACAATGGGCCAGGCCAGGGTGGGCAGGATGGGGCATCTGCATCCTCTCCCCTTTTCTCTCCCCCAACTCCAGATGACTTCCGGATCTTCTGCGGGGACCTGGGCAATGAGGTGAATGACGACATCCTGGCACGGGCCTTCAGCCGCTTCCCGTCTTTCCTTAAGGCTAAGGTCATCCGAGACAAGCGCACAGGCAAGACCAAAGGCTATGGCTTCGTCAGTTTCAAGGACCCCAGTGATTACGTGCGAGCCATGCGTGAAATGAATGGTGGGTGAGGTCTCCCATGAGGGCATGGGTATGGTGGGCATCTGGCATGAGCCCACCCCACCCCCCAGATCTGACCTTGAGCCCTCCATACACACAGGGAAGTATGTGGGCTCACGCCCAATCAAGCTTCGCAAGAGTATGTGGAAGGACCGGAACCTGGACGTGGTGCGGAAGAAGCAGAAGGAGAAGAAGAAGTTGGGACTGAGATAGGGTCTGTGGCCGGGCGCTGGCTCTTCCCCACACTTCTCCTTGGAAAGCCCCCCACTGTACCCACCCAACTGCCCCAAAACCAGTTTCAATAAATTTATGTTCATTTCCATCCCTGGCTGGGCTCCTTCCTGGGGAACACTTTGGAGTGGGGGTCTTGGAATACCCAACCTGGAGATGGTGGAGACCCTTGAAGGTTTACCCAGATAAACATCTAGCCAGGCATTTTGGAGCCCTTGCTATGAGTCCATTATATCTCAGATCCTCCCCCACACACGTACTAAGTGCAGTCCATTCCACAGAGGAGGGACGTGCGCGCTCACAGCAAGGCTCACGACCCTGTCCTCGTGGAGCCCACAGCCTTCTTGACTTGTATCTGTCCAGCACACTTACTAAGTACAGTCCATTCCACAGAGGAGGGGTGTGCACGCTCACAGCAAGGCTCACAACCCTGTCCACGTAGAGCCCACAGCCTGCTTGACTTGCATCTGTCCAGCACACTTACTAAATGCAGTCCATTCCACAGAGGAGGGACGTGCGCGCTCATGGCAAGGCTCCCATCCTGTCCGCGTGGAGCCCACAGCCTTCTTGACTTGCATCTGTCCAGCACACTTCCTGAGGTACTGCACAGCGCTGGGATATGAAACTGACTAGCTCTGCTGCTGCTTCATGTGAAGTGCCATCAAGTCAGTTCTAACCCATAGCGACCCTGTATAGGGTTCTCAAGGAGTGGCTGGTGAGCCTGAACTGCTAACCCATAGCGACCCTGTATAGGGTTTTCAAGGAGTGGCTGGTGAGCTTGAACTGCTAACCCATAGCGACCCTGTATAGGGTTTTC